GGTATTCATTGAAAAAGGTTTGACCAGAGTGGGTGACTTGGATTTGCTCTCCAGTTGAAAGAGTGATGTAAACATTGTGCAAGGGAATGGTATTCTCAAGATGATCCAAGGAGCAGGCAATATGGTCAGAAGCTCCTGTATCAAGGATCCATCTGTCTTTCTGATGTAAACTAACATTCAAGACTGGTTTAGTAAGAGAATAGTTGGTAGAGGTACCTTTGGTAGAGACAAAGGCAGCAGCATAATAGGATGGAGTGGATTTCTGGGATTTGAGCAAAGTCATGAGGCTATCATAGTCTGATCTGGTAAGCTTGACTTCATCAGGTTGCTGGGAGGTGGAAGCTGCATTGATTTGACATCTACCTCTGCCATAACCTGGATTGGGATTTCTGGGAACATAATCTGGAGGGAAGCCATGCTTCCTGAAGCACTTATCCTCTGAGTGACCATGTTTGTGACAGAAAGTGCACTCAATGACTTTGCCTGGGACAGACACAGGAGGCCTAGGAACCAGACCAGGTGGCCAGCCATGTTTGTGGTAACAAACATCTTCTGTATGTCCTTTCTTCTTGCAAAAGGTACAGTAAGGCCTTTTTCCTGGAGGAAAGGAACGTCTATTGGCAGCCAAGGCTGTGGCCTCTGCAGTGGCAGTGGCTACCAACTTGCTTGTCTGCGTTCCATATAACTGTCTCTCATGTTGGAGCATTCATTGAAAAACTCTATTGATAGTAGGTAATTCTTCTCCAAATAATACTTGTGAGCGAACAGTAGAGAAATTTTCATTGAGACCTCGAAGGAACTTAATGACATAGCTGGTGTCATGATACTCCATGACCCTTTTCATAGCTCTATAGGTTAGATGGCTAGTAGGCGTGCAATCACATGGAAGCAGGGTTGGTAGTTTTCTAATTCATCTCGAAGTGTAATAACTCTGCCATAATAATCAGTAATCGTTTGGTTACCTTGTTTTAGGCTGGAGAGAGCTTCTTCCAGTTCAGCAACCATGATGATATCGCCAGGACAATATCTGGTATGCAAGCTACACCATGCTTCAAGGGTTGTTTTGGTGGAGAGGATTGTTTTCCTGATCTCAGACTCCATAGATTGTTGAATCCATCTTAATATCATGACATTGTTGCGAATCCAGGCTCCATGCTTGGGATCCGTTTCAGCAGGCTGGGGAATGCTTCCATTGATGAAGCCTAGCTTGTTCTTGGCTGCAAGGGCATTGTACATCCCTCTGATCCAGTCGTTGTAGTTGAAAGAGTTAAGCTTCTCAGCAACGAGAAGAGATCCAGGTTGCTCAGAACCATGAAGGATGTTTGGATCTTCCAACTGGTAAACGATTTGTTGTGGTTGTTGTTGTTGAGGCTGTTCCTCATTGTCTTTTGGCTCCGGATTTGTAGGTTGGTGGTCAGCCATTGGAGGCGGCGGCTAGGGTGGTTGAGGCTCTGATACCATAACAAAGGATTTGAGAAGTGAAAACCCTAGAACTTGTCTTCATTTCATTTGGATCATTACATATATAGGCAACAGATTCACTACAGGACAGTGAGGTGAACTGCTACCATAGATTGTTTGTTCTTTTGCTTGAAAAGGAAACAAAGTTTTGCTTGAAAGAAAAGAAAACAGAAAAAGAACAATATTAGAAAGCAGCTTAGAGGAGAAACAATACGGATTGGCGAAGTGAGCTTCAAGTATCAGAACGACATCGTATTGGTCGTCTTCTTCAACCTTCTTCACGAAAAAGGGGGTGACCGTTGCATTTGAAAATTTTAATCTTTGTCTGCTGTTAGTCTCGCAAATCGATAGTCGCATGACTCTCCCCCTTCCCCTCGCCTCTGCCTCTCTCTCCACAAGATGCCTCTTCATCTGGCAATGACAGTTGAGTACACTTAGCCTCGTTTTGTTCCACTCCGAGAACACCTCCCCGGTTCGAGAATGATTTGCTAAGCATGTCGTCTAAACCAAGAAAACTCAAGCTAATTGGTAAAAGAAAATGCCTTTAATCTTGGTTTGGTTTTTTATGTAGAAAGTGGACGAATTTGGCATTTCCTAGTGCTGCAATTTCCTGCTTTTCTTCCAACAATCTTTCTATCTATATCCAAGAGAAAGAAGCAGTTGGAGGTAGTTCCCAAAATGATTTCTCTTTGATTCAATACAAAGTAGATCCAAGGCACCCACCACCAAGACCCCCTTTTGTTAATAGCAAGGTTGTCAACCCGCGGGTTGGCCCACTTTGACCCTGACCTCGTGAGAAAAACGGGCCGCACGCACCCACCGAGTCGACCGCTACAAGATACCGGGTTGGAGGTCAAATTGTGTCATTTTTTTCTTTGTTTTGCGAAATGCGCCTATTTTCCGATTTTTCTTTTCGCCTAACTTAATCTTTGGAATCCTAAGTTGAACATTTGAATATTAATGTTATATAAGTGTGTGTGAATTTTCAATATATATTGAATCTAAGTACGACATGTTATTTTGGTGTAATATTATATGTTATAACTCATATGTTAGATCGATTTGATATAATTTATCAGGATAAGTACAATATAGTGACGCTTTCCATATTTCCGGGCTAAACCGGGCTAAAACGAGTGACCCATTAACCCTTACCCCAATAGCTCAATCGGGTCCGGGTCAACCCGCGGGTTGACAACCTTGGTTAATAGATTCCATATATGTCTAGTATGAAACACCACATTCCAAGTTTTCAAACATCTAATTTTCAGTCCCCCCCCCCCTCTTCCTTCTTTGGAATAGGTAAGGATTCCCAAGATATAACAGTTTTAGTTCTTCTGGAACCCTCTTAAATCCAGGGAGTGAAGCTTGCTGGGACCTTGCCAAATATGCCAACCTTTCATGTGTAGCTTCACTCTCCCCTGCACAGAACAACTGCCTTTTTCTGGATTGAATCTCATCCCTGATAGTAGGTAGAATCTCTTCAGTAACCCATTAGAGAAGATCAATAGGTCATCTGGAAATACCATATGGGTGATCCTAAGCTGCTTGCATCTGAGATGATAGGGTAGACCTCCTGTGTATGCAGATTTGTTATTGAAGAAAGGTTAAATTCTTCTTATTTGGACTCGATATATTTATACGATTACCATGCTTGGCTATCAGACTGCATTAATTGGCTTCCATACTTGGCAGTTTGATAAGAGAGAACACAAAACACAATACAATGATGAGAAATCCTTCCAAACATAACTATGATATCAAAGAATGAAACTCATGATTTGTGTAGCTTAATGGTAATTTGACCAAATTGGATTTGAGTGCCAAATCCAACTATGAGGTCCAAGGAACATACCTCCTCCTAGTTAAACTTAGAAGATTCCATTGCCAAATTTCACACAAACCTTTATGCAATAACAAACTGTTGGGTAAGCTTAGGTTTACATGCGGTTCGAGTTTAGTAATTTTAATCATCTGATTCATGTTCTTCGGTTTTGAAAAGTAAATCCAAATCCATGAAAACCCTAACAGATTGTTTACGATTGGCTTGGGTCGGGTGCTCTATACTTTTTAAAGTAGAAACTCAACTCAATACTAAAAAATGCAATTATTTTGCACCATCACAAGAAATTATTATATAACCAATTAAAGTTTCAAGCAAGTAAACCGAGACGAAAAGTATCACAATGCATGGAAGTTACTTCCTGGATGATAGTGAAGTGAAATTTCCTTCAACATATGTCCAGTACTTTCCATAAATATTTATTGAAATATAGTAAAAGGTTATTCATTACAAGTTAACACATCCATAATATGTTCCATTTCTAAATTATACACAAGCAAACATACCACATGAACCATAACATGTATGCAATCTATGTTCAAGTTTTTCAATTGAAAACGACACAAATACGTTATGGATACGAAGTCTTAAAACAATAGTTGTAATATGAGTTGAGTCAGATATCAACGGATTGCATAACCCAACACTCAATCCAAAAGAGGCCGGTTAAAAGAAATGTCATCCAACTTTAAACCTTAATTTAAAATGTTAATTACGGGTTGGATCTTACATAGATGAGTCGGGTTGCGTTCTTTTTGGTCACCCCTAAGTCTCAACTAGAGGCCAGAAGACTCGTTTTCGAATGCCCTAACTGGGTACTATTGGCCTGATAAATAGGGATGGCAATGGGTCGGGTTGGGTCGGGTTTTGCCAAACCCAAACCCATGGGTTTATCCGTGAAAAAACTCGGGGTAAAACCCACTGGGTTTGAAAAACTCAAACCCAACCCAACCCGCTGGGTATCCGCGGGTTTATGGGTACCCAGGAGTTTTTGTCGTAAAAACTTTACAATAACAAGTTTCTATCAAAATTAAAATCAAATATCAATCTGTCAATACAAATTATCCATATATAAAACACCATTCTAGAAAATTCAAGCAAATCGCAAATTAACTATACAAATTGTTCAACACCAATCTAAAAAACTCAAGAAAATTGAAGCAAATCACAAATTAATCATAAATAACATGATTAATTGAAAGCTTCTTCCTTTCAATTAAGTTTTTCACTTTTCACTTGATAACATCAACTTCATTCTACACAATTAGAATGAAAAAATTAGACATGTCTCCACAAACATAAATAAGATTAGTTGTTTGGAATATTAAATATTCCAAGAAAATTAATTATATGAGTGTGAGCGGGTACCCATGGGTCGGGTTTACCTAACCCAAATCCAACCCAACCCAGTGAATAGTGAACGGATTTAAACCCAAACCCGGCCCAAAACCCTTCAATGCGGATTTTACCCGCGTTGACCGAGTTGGGTCGGATGAGTACCTGTGGGTTCGGGTTTTGTTGTCATCCCTACTAATAAAAGAGCTTCATAGTAAACAAACATATATGTGCTTAGCTCAAATATGTTTATCTTTTTGAGGAAAGGCTTAGGCCCATTACGTTGAGATGGAAATTGGAAAGAAAAAAAAACTGATTCCAAACAATAAAAACTATAAATCCAAAACGCACGAGTTTTAATCTTCTTCTCTCACTTTACCCTAACGCCTTCAAACCCTCCAGTGCCCAAGAATATCACTCTTCTCCTCCTCCTCTCAGAGAACAAAAAAACCAGACTGCGCTACGTAACGGCTGCAATCCCAACCGCTGGCAACCACTGTCATCGTAGCTCTCCCAAGGTCAATCGTCTCCCTCCTCCTCCGTCTACTTTCGCCACTGCTCCGAGATCGGTTTCACTGATCGGAGCATTTTTCTGGTTTCTCTCGTCACCTGTCGACTACGGCCTTGTGGCGGCTGAGGTGCGCGCTTGTATTTCTCTTCTTGCGATTACATCTCAAGTTTGTGTGTATTCGTTTTCTGGCAGGTCGGAGAGGTTTTGATTTTGTAGCGCCATGTCGAATTTTGCCAAGCCGGAGAACGCGCTTAAGCGCGCTGAAGGTTTATTTCTCTCATTTCCTTTGGAAGTTCTTAATCAATCTCTAAAGTATGTGGATGGTGAATCTAGGTTGTGGTATAAATGCCTCAGTCAGTTGTTTCTTGCATGGGAAGTATGGAATTTGTGCCCTTATTGAGTTGGATGTTGTAGGAGATGGATTGGACTTCCAATTGTGTGGAATGTGCTTAGGAGGGGTAGTAATGATGGATTTGTTTTGATTATCGAATTTTTTTTTTATCTTGGTGTTGATTTCGTAATTTTTCTATGATTGAAAAGTCATGGTGTTGTTTTTGTTATTCTGTGGCTTGCAGAGCTGATAGCTGTTGGACAGAAGCAAGAGGCTCTCCAGACGCTTCACAACCTGATAACCTCGAAGAGGTACCGAGCATGGCAGAAGACACTTGAGCGGATCATGTTTAAATATGTTGAGCTGTGCGTCGAGATGAGAAGAGGGCGATTTGCCAAGGATGGGCTGATACAGTATCGCATAGTGTGTCAACAAGTGAATGTGAACTCGTTGGAGGAGGTAATCAAGCACTTTATGCATCTCTCCACGGAGAAAGCTGAACAGGCTCGAACTCAAGCACAAGCACTGGAGGAAGCTCTCGATGTTGATGATCTCGAAGCTGATAAAAGAGGCTCATACATTTCAAATTCCTTGTAACGAGAGTGAAAATAGGAATGGTGCATTCGTCATCACAATTGTTTATTTCTATTTTTAAAAAAATATAATGTTGAGATTTCAACTCAAGTTATTTTAGACAAAGACAAGAATCATAACCAATTACTTGGATTTTTTCTAAAATAAAAGTATAGCAAAATTTTAGTTCATTCCATCATTTTTGGATGTTTTAGTAAATCTATAGGGACATGACAACTAACTGATCGAGTAAAAATGACTTGGTTATGCATTTTGATTCTCAAATAAATAAACAATTTAAATTTTTATGAAAGTTTATGCTCACTTTGTTGGTTGATTGAAGTTTGTTTGATCATGGATAATAATTAGTTTATTTATAATATTTGTGATGTTTGAAATCTTTTATGTATGGTTTAGAAGTATACTTATTTTTGTGGAATTAGTGGTAATTCATTGAAATGTAGTATTTCATTAGATAGTCAAAGTCGAGTATTGAGTATCTTTTACATTGGTGTTAGGAATGACCGAACGGGTATAAAATCCATGCAAATAGGTATAGCGGTGAATTTAAAATTTTTATTCTTATTACAATATTTACATATTCTCTAACATTAAGTAATCAGGTCCATTGACACCAAATGTAGCACCAAAATCCATTATTCAAAAAAGCCCATATATATTTTTAAATATTCATTATATTTTTTTGTGAACATATATACATCTTTGAAAGTTACATATTTTTTTATTGTGAATGATTGTTGATGGACTTTTGATCAAAACTTAGGTATAGCTAGATTGGTTAAAGTTTTTGCTAAATCGGGATATAGAATTGACTGGATACATTTAGTTAGTTGTGATATCACATGAATTCATACAAATGAATGTAAAGGATAACTCTAATATATGTGACAACCGAATGGTTAAATGTGATAGAGGTATCATATAAATATAAGTGGGAGAGATATGAATGTATTTAATAGCCATATTAGGTGAGATTTGAGTTTGTTTAATTTTGTTATAAGAGTTATCATTGACAAATTCTTCTTTGTACCATTGTTTCATATAGTCATTTATTGAAACTATTTGAAGGCGTCAACAATCAGATTTTTCAACAAGTTGCCTGCAAATGTAACTGGGCAACTTTGGAGCGATTCTCCAATTTTTGCTTGCAATATTTGCATCTCCATCTGATTTGTAATCATCATCGGGCAACTCTCTTTACTTTTGAAATTTGTGTCATTGCCATTCTCAAGTTCTTACGCTACTTCAACCCCGAATTCTTTCTTGCAAACTTCAATAGCTCCAGTGATTCTTGTGCTTAGACTTATAATATTACTGAATAGTTTTAGAAAACAAAGTTGTCAATAATTGCACACTGTATACTAGAGAAATGAATACAAACGTTAAAGAATTATTCTATGACAATGATTTGTACACATACTTTTGAATAAAGAACTAAATTCATTTCAATCATTCACATTGAAAATTGTGACAAATTCAAAAATATATGTCAATGTTCCTATTATATATCAATATATAATTCCTGTCATAATCAACAAAGAAGATAAAAATTGAAAAAAATCATGGATACATGTACTGATGTACATTAAACTCAATCAAAGTACAATCATTTTCTTTTATAATGAACATTGATTATGTATATATCATAGAAAGCAACTCTCATGTTGTTATTTGTGGACTATTATATAGGAAAAACTCATGTGTAAACATATAGGTCAATATTAGCTACATTTCTTTGTTAGTCATTTTGACTTTCTCAAGTTTTCAATATGTTCTAAGCATACTCGAAGTAATTTGAGAATTTGTTTAGGTAATTCAGGGCTAAATCCAAACAAAACACACATCCTTAGTGTAAATGACATATATAAATAATATAACCATTGAACTATGTCGACCAATAGGCTGGTTCTTTTTCTATTTCTATTTTATAAAGATAGTCATTTATAACGAGACAATTGAATTATCCGACCCTCCCATATAAAATTGGAATTTACTTGAAACATATCAATTTAAAATTTTCCAGGCCAAATTGATGCATCCAAAAGTTTTGCTGTCAAATGGTTGATTTGGTTCAATTGTCTCAGAACTATTAGTATATGGTACAATTAATATACATCATTGAACATCTCCCAATAACTCTAGGTATTGGACCAAATGGTTCTTGACATATTATTAGAGCCTTCTATGACCAAGCGGTCTTTGTCCAAATCATGATGACCCCGTTTATTTTTTTATGAATAAGACGACCCCATTTGTTGGGTTCACGGTATTTGGGCTTGTGCATACTCAAGCTCATGAGTTGACTTTTGTGTGAGGGCGTTGTTAGTAAATGGTACAAGATCCATAATTAAACATCTTGCAAAAAAATCGAGTTCTTGAAACCAATTGTGTTATGACCATACTTCATGAAACCCTAACGGACCAAGAAAATCGGAAACCAATACCTAGCCTAAATAGTATGGGCAACATCTCTTATTTGCTGAGCTGACCCGTCAATCCATCAAATACTGGCCTACATTAATTGAACCAGAAATGCATTTAAAACAAACAAATAAGACCCACCCTATAATAAAAACGTCTTATTTCATTGAAAAAAATGAAAAACTAAAAAGTTCAACCAAACTCCAAAACCTAATCGGATCTATTGATTCGTTCCGGTTTCACCTATTATCTTCTCAGTTTTTCCTCAAATTAGCGCAACCGCCAATAAAGAGGATGATCAAATTGAATGATTCTCCTCCTATAGTTCTCCTCTGTCGACTGACCTAAGTGTCGGATTGTGAGAGACCAAAGAAGGATGATCGTCGCTCGTTGATACGTTGTTCCTCCATCTGCAGTTTGTCGTCGATCCTCCCTCCCTCACCCTGACTTCACTGCTGGGTAACACGAGACCGTTCATCGTAGCTCTGAGTTTGGGGTCCTCTCATCTTTGTCTTTGTCTCTAACAAAGGATTTGAGAAGTGAAAACCCTAGAACTTGTCTTCATTTCATTTGGATCATTACATATATAGGCAGCAGATTCACTACAGGACAGTGAGGTGAACTGCTGCCATATATTGTTTGTTCTTTTGCTTGAAAAGGAAACAAAGGTTTGCTTGAAAGAAAAGAAAACAGAAAACAAACAATATCAGAACGCAGTGTAGAGGAGAAACGGTGCAGATTGGCGAAGTGAGCTTCAGGTATCAGAACGACATCGTACTAGTCATCTTCTTCAACCTTCTTCACGAAAAAGGCGAAGTGAGCTTCAAGTATCAGAACGACATCATACTAGTCGTCTACTGTTACCCCCCCCCCCCCCCCCCCCCCCCCCCCCCCCGGCAAGTTGGGGGGCACAGAATGTGCACACCGAGCTTGGCAAAAAGCTGGTGAAAAGGGGCTGGGGATAACGGTTTGGTGAACAAATCAGCCAATTGATGAGATGAGGAGACATGAAGAAGCTTGAGAGTACCAGCTTGAATCTTTTCGCGCACCAGATGGCAATCCAGCTCTATGTGCTTGGTGCGCTCATGGAATGTGGGATTGTGTGCAATATAGATGGCGCTCTGATTATCACAATACAAAGCTGCTGGCTGGGAATGCTGGATCTGGAAATCACGAAGGAGGAAGAGCATCCATTGAATTTCACAAGATGTGTATGCTAGAGCGTGGTACTCTGCTTCGCATGAAGATCTGGAGACTGTCTGCTGCTTCTTGCTTTCCAGGAAATCAGGGAGTCTCCCAGGTAAACACAATAACCTGTAATGGAGCGGCGTGTGTCAACACAGGCCGCCCAATCTGAATCTGTGAAAGCCTTTAAGTGGAAAGTACCATTGTTGGGAAAGAACAATCTAGTTGCTAGGGCCGACTTTAAATAGCGTAGAATGCGTAAGACAGCTTTGTAATGAGTAACACTGGGGTTGGACATAAATTGGCTAAGTTGCTGGGTTGCAAAGGTGATGTCTGGCCTTGTAGTTGTGAGGTAAATGAGTTTCCCTACAAGAGTTCTGTAGTGTTCAGGGTCATCATAAGGAGTGTCAACAACATTGTTGAGGTGGATTTTGTAATCCATGGGTGTGGAGACTGTCTTGGAATCAAGCAGTCCTGCTTCCTCAATTATTTCCAATGTGTATTTGCGTTGTGATATATGGATTCCTTTGTTGTTTCTTGCTACTTCAATGCCCAGGAAAAATCTCAGTACTCCCAAATCTTTGATGCTGAATTCGTTGTTCAAAACCTTCTTTAAATCATTTATCTCGTTGATGTCATTGCCTCCCAGAACCAGATCATTAACGTAGATAAGTATACATGTTTAGCTTGAAGTAGTAGCCTTGTAGAACAAAGAGTGATCAGCTTGACTCTGTATATAACCCACTGCTTGTAGCTTGTCTGTAAGTTTAGAAAACCACTGACGAGAAGCCTGTTTTAAGCCATAAAGAGATTTTCTGAGACGACAAACAGGATTGGTATAACCTGGTGGAGGATCATAACCCTTAGGTAGAGTCATATAGACTTCCTCCTGGAGATCTCCATGGAGGAAGGCATTGTTAACATCCAGTTGATGGATGTGCCAGTTCCTCATGGATGCAATGGCCAAGAAGGTTCTGAAGGTGGTCATTTTCACTACAGGAGCAAAGGTGTCCTGATAATCAACACCTTCCTGTTGTGAATTGCCTTTAGCTACCAATCGTGCTTTCTCCCTTTCAAGACTGCCATTAGATTGAAACTTTGATTTGTAGACCCACTTGTTACCTATGGATTTCTTACCAGGAGGCAAATCCACAACATCCCAAGTTCTGTTCTTTATGAGTGCTCCAATTTCTTGTTTCATAGCTGTATTCCAAGCTTCAAATTGTGAAGCTTCCTTATAGGTCTGGGGATCTTGGTCGGAGGAAATGTTTAAAACAAACTATTTGTGATGAGGGGCAAGGTTATCATAGGAAAGAATGGATGAGAGAGCAAAACTGGTGTCTTGAACTTGATGCCGAGGCAAATGCTTGACTCCGCTAGATTGCTTAGCAAGATAACAGTCGTAGTCCTGAACAAGGTGGGATGGTGGCTTGACTATTCTGTGTGATTTTCTAAGAGGTTGAGGGTTGGGTGGTGAAGGGGTGTTGTGAGAAGAGGAGTGGGGAGGAGAAGGAGTAGGAATTGTGGAGGGAGAAGTAGAAGGTGAGGTTGGTGAGGAGGGAGTGGAAATAACAGGAGGAGAAGAAGGGATAGGTGTAGGATTTGATTGTGGGTTTAGTGGTGGTGAAGGTGTGGGATCATCAACAATGAGAGGAGAAACTAGAGAAATGGGAAAGAGATCTGGAGGATCAGTTGGAGTGGATCTAGTGAGTGAAGCAGACTGGAAAGGAAAATGGGATGCATGGAAAATGACATCCCTAGAAGTGAATATGTCATGGGAATTAAGTTCATAGATCTTGTAACCCTTTATGCCAGGAGAATAACCAAGAAACACACCCTTCCTGACCCTAGGTTGAATTTTTGTTATGTGATTTCCTAGAGTACTGGAAAAGCAAAGGCTGCCAAAGACTTTCAAGTCTATTAGGTCTGGTGGTGTGTGATGAAGAAGCTCATATGGAGTTTTGTTGTGTAAAATAGTGGAGCATACTCGATTGACTAGGTGGACAACATGTTTGACACAATCACCCCAGAAACCAGGAGGCATAGAAGCCTGAAACTGTAAAGCTCTAGCTACAGCAAGTATATGCTGATGTTTGCGTTCAACTTTGCTGTTTTGTTGGGGTGTTTCAACACAGGACATCTCGTGAATGATGCCTGTTGTTTGGAAAAAATCAGTCATTTGAAATTCCTTTCCTGGTCTGATCTAATTCTTTTGATGGTAGTTTGGAATTGCCTTTGCATTTGAGTGCAGAAGGCAATGAGTTTTGGACGAGCTTCTGACTTTAGTTGAAGTAAGATTAACCAAGTCATGCGAATAGATGAACTGGTGCCATAGATTGTTTGTTCTTTTGCTTGAAAAGGAAACAAAGGTTTGCTTGAAAGAAAAGAAAACCGAAAACAAACAATATCAGAATGCAGCATAGAGGAGAAACGGTGCGGATTGGCGAAGTGAGCTTCAAGTATCAGAACGACATCGTATTGGTCGTCTTCTTCAACCTTCTTCACGAAAAAGGGGATGACCGTTGCATTTGAAAATTTTAATCTTCTTCTGATGTTAGTCTCGCAAGTGGACAGTCGCATGACTCGCCCCCTTCCCCTCGCCTCTACCTCTCTCTGCACAATATGCCTCTTCATCTGGCAATGACAGTTGAGTACACTTAGCCTCGTTTTGTTCCACTCCGAGAACACCTCCTCGGTTCGAGAATAATTGGCTAAACATGTCCTCTCAACCAAGAAATCTCAAGCTAATTGGTAAAAGAAAATGCCTTTAATCTTGGTTTGGTTTTTAATGTAGAAAGTGGACGAATTTGGCATTTCCTAGTGCTGCAATTTCCTACTTTTCTTCCAACAACCTTTCTATCTATATCCAAGAGAAAGAAGCAGTAGGAGGTAGTTCCCAAAATGATTTCTCTTTGATTCAATACAAAGTAGATCCAAGGCACCCACCACCAAGACCCCCTTTTATTAATAGATTCCATATATTTCTAGTATTAAACACCACATTCCAAGTTTTCAAACATCTAATTTTCAGCCCCCCCCCCCCCCCCCCCCCCCTTCCTTCTTTGGAATAGCTAAGGATTCCCAAGATATAACACTTTTAGTTCTTCTGGAACCCTCTTAAATCCATGGAGTGAAGCTTGCTGGGACCTTGCCAAATGTGCCAACCTTTCATGTGTAGCTTCACTCTCCCCTGCACAGAACAACTGGCTTTTTATGGAATGAATCTCATCCCTGATAGTAGGTAGAATCTCTTCAGTAACCCATTAGAGAAGATCAATAGGTCATCTGGAAATACCATATGGGTGATCCCAAGCTGCTTGCATCTGAGATGATAGGGTAGACCTCCTGTGTATGCAGATTTGTTATTGAAGAAAGGTTAAATTCTTCTTATTTGGACTCGATATATTTATACGATTACCATGCTTGGCTATCAGACTGCATTAATTGGCTTCCATACTTGGCAGCTTGATAAGAGAGAACACAAAACACAATACAATGATGAGAAATCCTTCCAAACATAACTATGATATCAAAGAATGAAACTCATGATTTGTGTAGCTTAATGGTAATTTGACCAAATTGGATTTGAGTGCCAAATCCAACTATGAGGTCCAAGGAACATACCTCCTCCTAGTTAAACTTAGAAGATTCCATTGCCAAATTTCACACTGACCTTTATTCAATAACAAACTATTGGGTAGGCTTAGGTTTACATGCGGTTCGAGTTTAGTAATTTTAATCATCTGATTCATGTTCTTCGGTTTTGAAAAGTAAATCCAAATTCATGAAAACCCTAACGATTGTTTACGATTGGCTTGGGTCGGGTGGTCTATACTTTTTAAAGTGGAAATTCAACTCAATACTAAAAAATGCAATTATTTTGCACCATCACAAGAAATGGTTATATAACCAATTAAAGTTTCAAGCAAGTAAACCGAAATGAAAAGTATCACAATGCATGGAAGTTACTTCCTGGATGATAGTGAAGTGAAATTTCCTTCAACATATGTCCAGTATTTTCCATAAATATTTATCGAAATAGAGTAATAGGTTATTCATTACAAGTTAACACATCCATAATATGTTCTATTTCTAAATTATACACAAGCAAACATACCACATGAACCATAACATGTATGCAATCTATGTTCAAGTTTTTCAATTGAAAAAGACACACATACGTTATGGATACGAAGTCTTAAAACAATAGTTGTAATATGTAGGGCTGGTAAACGGTCGGTACCGGTTAAACCGGTTACCGATTAACCGGTATTCGGTATACCGCACCCCAGCAAAATCCTGTCGATTGCCGATACCGACTTGGAGACGGTATACCGGTTACCGAATCATCCGGTTACCGGTGTTCTGCCGGTTACCCGAAAGGGTATTACTAGCTTGCGTAGATGAAGAAGAAGAAATTTGATTTCCCGTTTCCCATTCCCAAACCTCTCTCACCGCCGACTTTCAAGCTCCCAAGCGACGAGTTCCAGATCTGGTGGCGAATCAGCAATGTCGCATCCCTCTAAACATGCATCCTTACCGTGGGCGAATCGGCGAATCGAGAAAACAAAGTACCCGGACTCTGATGTCGACGGCGGCTGTGAAAGAGGATGAGCGACGATGTCCGATCAGATCTCAATGGTGGCTTTATTGCCGTTGATTCGATGGTTGAAGCCGGCGACACGGACGCGACAGCGATGGTGTCGGGAAAGACGATGGCGACAACGATGGTGCCAGGGAAGCCGATATGGAACGGGAAACGTAGCGATGGCGGCGTAGGGCAGAGGAGGAGTGGAGAAAGGCGATGCATGTCCATCTTCTTCCGAAAATCTCTATCGCTCTTTGATTTTCTTCCTCTGATTTTGCCCCAAACTCCAGAAAGGATGAGAAGAAAGAAGAAGTCCCTTCCGCTTATCACCATTCCTTTACTTTCGTCAGTACACTGTACCAGAAATGATAGAGAGATGGCCCATGAGAAGAGAAGAAGGTAAATCTTAGATGGGGCAGGTCGAGAGGAAAGAATGAGGAGGAGGAAATGCACTGGTGGTAGATCGAGAGGAAAGAATGGAGGGCATATAAAAATTAGGGGGTTTGGTTGCTTGTATCCGGTTAGCTTATCGGTATCTGGTTAACACGCCGGTTTCTGAAACCGGTTACCGATATACCGAGACAGGCTATATGGAGTTCGAATATTGTCCGAATTTGTTGTAACCGGTTAACGATATACCGGTTACCGGTGGTTACCGGTTCAGTAACCGGTTATACCGTTAACCGTTAAACCGTTTACCACCCCTAGTAATATGAGTTGAGTCAGGTATCAACGGATGGCATAACCCAACAATCCATCCAAAAGAGGCCGGTTAAAAAAAATATCATCCTACTTTAAACCTTAATTTAAAATGTTAATTACGGGTTGGATCTTACACAGATGAGTTGGGTTGCGTTCTTTTTGATCACCCCTATGTCTCAACTAGAGGTCGGAAGACTCATTTTCGAAAGCCCTAACTGGATACTATCGGCCTGATAAAATAGCTTCATAGTAAACAAACATATATGGGCTTAGCTCAAATTTGTTTATCTTTTTGAGGAAAGGCTTAGGCCCATTACGTTGAGATGGAAATTGGAAAGTAAAAAAAAAAAAACTGATTCCAAAGTCCAAACAATAAAACTAGAAATCCAAAACGCACGAGTTTTAATCTTCTTCTCTCACTTTACCCTAACACCCTCAAACCCTCCAGTGCCCAAGAATCTCACTCTTCTCCTCCTCCTCTCAGAGAACAATAAAACCAGACTGCGCTCCGTAACGGCTGCAATCCCAGCCGCTGCCGCCAGCGCAACCACAACCACTGTCATCGTCGCTCTCCCAAGGTCAATCGTCTCCCTCCTCCTCCGTCTACTTTCGCCACTGCTCCGAGATCGGTTTCACTGATCGGAGCATTTTTCTGGTTTCTCTCGTCGCCTGTCGACTACGGCCTTGTGGCGGCTGAGGTGCGCGCTTGTATTTCTTCTCTTCTTGCGATTACATCTCAAGTTTGTGTGTATTCGTTTTCTGGCAGGTCGGAGAGGTTTTGATTTTGTAGCGCCATGTCGAATTTTGCCAAGCCGGAGAACGCGCTTAAGCGCGCTGAAGGTTTATTTCTCTCATTTCCTTTGGAAGTTCTTAATCAATCTCTAAAGTATGTGGATGGTGAATCTAGGTTGTGGTATAAATGCCTCAGTCAGTTGTTTCTTGCATGGGAAGTATGGAATTTGTGCCCTTATTGAGTTGGATGTTGTAGGAGATGGATTGGACTTCCAATTGTGTGGAATGTGCTTAGGAGGGGTAGTAATGATGGATTTGTTTTGATTATCGAATTTTTTTTTTATCTTGGTGTTGATTTCGTAATTTTTCTATGATTGAAAAGTCATGGTGTTGTTTTTGTTATTCTGTGGCTTGCAGAGCTGATAGCTGTTGGACAGAAGCAAGAGGCTCTCCAGACGCTTCACAACCTGATAACCTCGAAGAGGTACCGAGCATGGCAGAAGACACTTGAGCGGATCATGTTTAAATATGTTGAGCTGTGCGTCGAGATGAGAAGAGGGCGATTTGCCAAGGATGGGCTGATACAGTATCGCATAGTGTGTCAACAAGTGAATGTGAACTCGTTGGAGGAGGTAATCAAGCACTTTATGCATCTCTCCACGGAGAAAGCTGAACAGGCTCGAACTCAAGCACAAGCACTGGAGGAAGCTCTCGATGTTGATGATCTCGAAGCTGATAAAAGACCGGAAGATCTGATGCTTAGCTATGTCAGTGGGGAAAAGGGGAAGGACAGGTCTGACCGTGAGCTTGTTACCCCTTGGTTCAAGTTCTTGTGGGAGACCTATAGAACTGTGCTGGAAATTTTGAGGAACAACTCAAAATTGGAGGCATTATATGCGGTAACATTCCTGCCTTAATTGTTGTTTATTGGGTCTCCGGGTGCTCTATGGAAATTTGTATGGTCCAACTGAATAATGGGCATATCTTGTCACGTGCAGATGACAGCACATCGTGCATTTCAATTCTGCAAACAATACAAGCGAACAACCGAGTTTAGACGTCTGTGTGAAATTATCAGAAACCATCTTGCCAACCTCAACAAGTATAGAGATCAAAGGGACCGACCTGATCTGACAGCTCCTGAAAGCTTGCAGATGTATCTCGATACAAGATTTGAACAGCTTAAGGCTGCCACTGAGCTTGGGCTCTGGCAGGTATGCAATCTGATTTATTCCGTGTCTGTTGATTGAGATATCCATTTCTTACTTTACTTTACTTTTCTAAGGTACTATTTTACTTTTCATCTATAGGAAGCGTTTCGTTCTGTTGAAGATATTCATGGCTTGATGTGCATGGTGAAGAAGACACCCAAGGCATCCTTGTTGGTTGTCTACTATGCTAAGCTGATTGAGGTCTTTTGGATCTCGTCGAGCTATCTCTATCATGCTTATGCCTGGTTCAAGCTTTTCAGCCTTCAGAAGAGTTTCAACAAGAACTTAAGCCAGAGGGATCTGCAGTTGGTTGCTTCAGCTGTTGTCTTGGCGGCTTTAGCAGTGCCTCCATATGATACTCGTCGTGCCTCTCATGTGGAACTTGAAAATGAGAAGGAGCGTAATTTGAGGATGTCAAATCTCATTGGATTCAATCTGGATCCCAAAGCTGAGAGCAGAGAAGTGGTATTGTGATTAATACGTGTTTATGTGGATTTTATTGTTGTTTTGCCTCACACTCACAGATTTTCTCTTCTTCTGCAGCTTTCAAGGGCAGCTCTCCTCTCCGAACTGGTAATTTGAGCTTGGTATTTTTTTTAATAGTTCTGAGCTGTTATGCTTTCCCCTCTACGAGTGAATTTTGGGAGTGGTAACCAATTGATTTGTAGTTGTCGTAGATCGGGATTATGTATTTAATTCCCTTATGTATCCAGGTTCTTATTCTGAAACTTGTGTCACGTTATCATCTTTTGACATTATGAACAGGTGTCCAAGGGTGTGCTGAGCTGTGCGACTCAAGAAGTGAAGGATATTTACCATCTTCTAGAGCATGAGTTCCTTCCAGTCGATCTTGGTGCAAAGGTGCAGCCTTTGCTTTCCAAAATCTCTAAACTTGGGGGAAAGCTTGCTACAATATCTTCTCTGCAAGAGGTTCAGCTATCCCAATATATCCCTGCCCTCGAAAAGCTTGCTACTCTCAGGTTGCTCCGACAGGTACCTATCCTTATCTCTCGTCCTAGTTCTATATTATCTTTGCAAAGATAGTCATCATGACAATTAAACTCATTCTGTTCTTTCAGGTCTCTCAGGTGTACAGCACAATGAGGATCGAGAGTTTATCTCGTATGATCCCCTTCTTTGGGTTTGCTGTTGTGGAGAGAATTTCTGTTGATGCAGTTAAACACAAGTTCATCGCTATGAAAGTGAATCATATGAAGAGTGTTGTAATGTTTGGAGATGCGGTATTCTTCTTGTCTTGGTCTGTATAATTAGCACTGTTTTGTCTCTCTTGCAGCAATATAGTGTCTCTATTTTATTTTTGATAATATGGTTGCATGGAACTTCTTTCAGCTCCTTGAATCTGATGGCCTCCAAAACCATTTGGCTTTGTTTGCCGAATCCCTGAACAAAGCGAGGTCCATGATATATCCTCCTGCGAAGAAATCATCAAAGCTAAGTGACATTTTACCTGCACTCGGGGAGACTGTCGACAAGGAACACAAGAGACTTCTTGCTAGGAAGTCTATAATAGAGAAAAGAAAGGAAGAACAAGAACGGCAGCTTCTCGAAATGGTAGCGACACATTTTGTATTATCTTATTCAATACCCTACTGTGCCGTCATTTGGTTGCGTGTTATAACAATAAGATGTTCTTTCACAGGAACGAGAGCAAGAGTCGAAAAGATTGTCTGAACAGAAGAGAACAGAGGAGCAGGAGCAAAAGAGGCTCGCGGCAGAGTACGAACGCCTCAAGAACCAGAGGATCCTTCGGGAGATTGAGGAGCGCGAACTTGAAGAGGCGCAGGCATTTCTCGAGGAAACTGAGAAGCGTAGCAAGAAGAAGGGCAAGAAAGCTGTTGTAGAAGGAGTATGGACAAAATCCTTTTCATTTAGTGTTTCTTGCTGCATTGACAGTTCCATCTATGTACTAGTCTCAATTGTACATGAATTTCTTGTAGGAAAAGGTGACGAAGCAATCCTTGATGGAAAGGGCTCTGAACGAGCAGCTTAGGGAGAGGCAGGAAATGGAAAAGAAACTGCAGAAGCTGGCTAAGACAATGGATCATCTGGAGCGGGCTAAGAGAGAAGAAGCAGCTCCATTGATTGAGGCTGCCTTCCAGCAACGCCTCGTCGAAGAGAAGGCCCTACATGAACGCGAACAACAGGTAAAACTATCTCCCTGATTGAGCTTTATATAATTTTTCATGTCTTCACTTTCTGAAGTTTGTTGAATCTTTAATTGGCTTCATGAGACTTCACTATGTAAAATCATGTTGAGTGGTTGCAGCTGGAGGTTGAACTGAGCAGGCAGCGCCATGATGGAGACCTCAAGGAGAAGAACAGGCTTATCCGCATGATGGATAATAAAGTAATCACACTGTCAATCAACACTGCACTCTGCTACTCAGCTTGTTTTAGAGGTGCTGACACCACTGAATTTGTTGGCCATACGCGCAGACGATTTTCCAGGAGAGAGTCATTGCCCGTCGGCAAGCAGAGTTTGACCAAAGGCAAGCAGCAAGGGAAGCGAGGATCAATCAAATAATTCAGACAAGGAGACATGAGAGGGAGATTCAAAGGAAGAAGATATTATATATCAAGACTGAGCAGGAGAGGCTCGCTAGACTCAAGGAGGAAGAGGAAGCTCGTAAGAACGAAGGTAAACCTCGTTTAATATCCTCATTATGTGTTTAGAGCATACGTCCCCTTCACACCTGATGAGAGTAATCGATTTGGTATATGCAGAGGCTGAGAGGCGAAAGAAGGAAGAAGCTGAGCGCAAGGCAAAGCTGGACGAGCTAGCGGAGAAGCAAAGGCAAAGGGATAGAGAGCTGGAAGAAAAAGAGAGATTGAGGAGAGAAGCTCTATTGGGCCCCAGGCCTCCCGCCATTGCCGCTGAGGTCCCAGCTGCTGCTGCTGCTGCTGCTGCTCCTGCTGCAGCGGCTGCTCCAGCTGCTGGTGGAGGTGCTGCTGCACCACAGAAATACGTCCCGAAGTTCCGTCGTGGAGGTGGTGGTGAGAATCCCCCCGCAGCCAGACAGCAGGCTCCTCCGCCAGAGGCGGAGCGCTGGAGCAGTGGTGGTGGAAGCAGAGCTAGGCCTGGGGCTCTGTCGGAGACGACTGACCGCTGGACCCCTGGTGGCTCTAGGCAGGATCCAGACCGACGTGGCAGCGGTGGCGGCCCAACAGACACCTGGCGCCGTGGCGGTGGTGGAAGCAGCAGCAGCGGAGGCGGTAGTAGTGCTTCGGGGTCCGGCACTTGGTCATCTTCTAGGCGCTAAGGTTGAAAGCCATTGATGCATCATCCTCTGCTGGTGTTTTTCTGCGGAACTCGAAAGTGATTTTGTCGCTGCGTACTGAAAGGAAGTAATAACTTGCGCTGCTTTTGTTTTCTGTTCTAAAGTTTTAAGGGACTTGTTGCCAAATAGCCGAAGATCTGGCGGTTTCTGTTTAAATGTTGATGTTTTTCGTTCAATTAAAATGGCAATGGTGAAGTGAATGCACTAGTATTGGAACCTCGTCAACTTTTTGTCGCTTATATTTGAACTTGTTACCATTTTTTGTTCTTTTAACCTTCAGAGTTAACAGAGTAGTTTGAAAATAATTAGAAAATGTATGATCCAGCTTAGCCCTCCTCCCAAATGAGAAATTTGGACCAATAATAAAGTAACAAGTAAATACAGCTTTGGAATTCTGAATATTACTCGGTTGGAACACAGTCATCGCTGGTTTGGTTTATGTGATTGTTTGGCTTATGTGATTGTTTCATTTCATTAATGTGATTGTTTAGTTATGAATACTACAATGCTTGTATTCATTCATCGTTTTTTTATGTACTGACAATACATGTATTATTTACTTGGTGTGACAGAAACAATCATTCATTATCAATGATGGTACAATCTCAGATAAAAGGTTTTAGCTGTGATTATTGGGATTGTATAGTTGATATTGTTTTCTTCCAACATTAATTTTTAGAAATTATCTTTTCCATTGAAAAGAAGGGGCACAAGTGACATTTCCATTACAAGTGACTTTCCTTTTTACCTATTGAAAACACCCGCACGCGCGCGCACACACACACACATATATATATATACACACACACGTAATATATAATACATGTATTGATCACAATACATTGATTTAACAATCAAAGAAACCAAACGACTCTTAAGATTGAGTCTTCAAAACGCATCAACCCTGAAACCATCTCGCTCTTACTAATTGTGATATGCGATAAATGTTTGCCTTCATTGAAGAAATCTCTTAGAAATTGAGTTTTAAGAAACAACGGTATTTGAGCATAATTGAAAAGAGAATTGGCCATTTAGAGGAAGAAATTGAGAGAGAATTGGACGAAGATTTTGGGAGAACAAAAAGAAGGTCCGGTAGCAAGATTGTCATAGGGATAAGATCGTTATATGGTGCTCGAGGAAGACAAGTATACCGGTCCATGCCCGTCTTTATTGTTACTAATTGTTTGTATGATAAATTTGGTTGATTTTATATTATTCGAACTTGATATTTACTTGTACCTGTTATGTTGGTTATGATTTTGTTTCTTGGATTGCGTCGTATTTGCTAGTTGAATGTGCGTTGTGTAGTCCAGCGAATGAACTTTTGTCTTCATAAATAGACCTATGAAGGTACCGTTTTTCATTATGGATTGCGTCGTATTTGCTAGTTGAAAGAACATATCAAATACCGAAGCACAATTTTTAGTTTTGGTCCTTTTGGATGTAATGTTAAATAATGGGCCCGCGGCACCTGGTTTGGAGCGAAGGAAGGCAGCTTTCCTAAAACCCGCCTTCTGCACTTCGCCCTTCGGTTCTTCTTGACGAAGTCCTTTTGCCACAGGCGAGGAAAGCTGTTGCCTTCGAATAGAAAGCTTCGCGACAGTGGGGGAGAAACAAGTAAACAGCAATGAGCTCACTAGCTTCGAGATTCTCTAGCTTGTTACGGGTCTGTCGTACCAGCTCCCTCGTTTCTTCTTCAGGTCGCCTCTCTACCTTTTTACTCATCTGAATTCGCTTCCTGGACGCTTATGTAGATTTTTCGAGTTCAGGACTGAGTGAAAATGGTCGGTAGTTGTTAGGGTGGAAGTGGGTTTTGTTCACAATGCATAGTTGTTAGCTTTGAGTGTGATTGGCTTAGTGTAGTTTCGTTGGTGAATTTTGTCGAACATTTGGTCTGCGATAATTTTGTGACCTTTTTGGGGCGTTATTGGCGAAGGTTTTCAGTGGAAATTTTGTTGGGAATCGTCGTCTGTGTGCTCATTCGGATTGTGATTGCAGGGGATTGTGCTCAGAAAAGCTTGAGGGCGTGGTGCTCCACCCTATCGTTTGATGATGTAAATGATAACAATGAGGGGAAGGCTGAGGAAGTGGAAGCCGACTTTGATGACTTCATTGGTGAAAAGCTTCCTGATATGCAACTCCAAGGTGTGGACCCTGGTAAAGGCTGGGCATTCCGTGGTGTACATAAGGTATGTAATGGGAGAATTGTTGCAGGGTTCCCCTGTTTGATTGTTGATGTGTGTTTGAGGGGCTCTCACACTGAATAAACAGAATCCAAATGGTGCATCGAGCTTTTTCTTAAGTTCAAATGATAAGTCTAAGGAGCTGAACCGATAATCGTTTTTTTTACACAGGCAATAATCTGTGGGAAAGTGGGGCAAACTCCTCTGCAGAAGATCTTGAGAAATGGTCAGACTGTAACAATCTTCACCGTTGGAACTGGTGGGATGTTTGACCAGAGACTGTTAGGTGCCAAAGACCTTCCAAAACCGGTGCAATGGCATCGAATCGCTGTGCACAATAATGTTCTCGAGGCTTATGCAGTTCAACAACTCGCCAAAAAGTATCTCTATGAGAAGTCAAATCTCCTTTATTTATAGATGTTTGCCTGAGGTTTTATCTTGTCTGATAATAGGATCTTGTCCTGCAGCTCTAGCGTTTTTGTCGAGGGAGACATTGAAACTAGAATTTACAATGACAGCATCAGTGGAGAAATAAAAAACATACCAGAAATATGTGTTCGTCGTGATGGTACCTTTTCCGTTAGAGCTTTCTTCCTCTTATTGCATTTAAGGCCTGTTTATGTTAGCCTTAGGTGGAACTTCTGGTATAGCTACTATTAGAACTGGTTGTGTTCTCGAATTAAGGGTGAGAAAATGGTTTGGTTAAACCCAAAACAATCATATATCATGGTTTTTGTTAACTAAAACTGAATCACTTAGTTTTGGTTCTTGATACTTTTTTTTAATAAGCCAAATTCTTTTGATGTCTAAAGGTCACTCTCCTATTGATAAAATTTCTTCGAGATGATAAATTCTTATCCAAAATTACAGAAGGTTGTTGTTATTGAAGGATGTACCTCATGTTGAACTTCTGCTATTAAATTATTGGTTTTGATTTACCAAACTTCTGCTTAGTTGTTGTTCCGGTTTCACAAATAGATTTTCGGGCTTCAATTACTGAACCCCTATCTGAAACTATGACTAGCATAGGGAGTCTGAGTGCTAGTGTCTGAGGAGACTTCAGTATGCAGAAATATATACAGAACATGCATTCCTACATCAAATGAATAGCTTCTGGAGTGACATATGTTGCCTCGTGGTATTGACATTGTATCAATATGAAATGCAGGTAGAATTCGTCTCATAAAAGGAGGAGAAAGCAAGAGGAACTTCGATCTTTCCTTTGCGGATCTTCGTAAGTTATCGTCAACTAGTTTTAGAAACTCAGTACCATGTGCCATGAAATACACCTTAAAATTTATTGGTCCCTTAGTTTTGTAATTGGAGCCTCCCACTTTTTTTTTTGTTGCAGGAGAAGGATTGTTTAGCTGATTGTTCCACTTTCTTATTCCGGGTGATAGTCAAACTAACACAAGGAACAATGATAGATCTAGCTAACTTTGCTGTAAGACTTAGAGAAAAATTTGGAATAACTGTTTGTGAGGATTTTTCATCATCATCATCAATTAATCTCCCTCCCTCCCTCTGTGCTTAGTTAGCGAAGGGCTTCAGACCTAGACCTTTGTGAAAGAATTCCATGTCTATAATTATCTCTCACAGCTTGAGTAGTAAAACCATATTTGCTGATGGTGACGGAATTTGGTACTTGTGCAGTGATTCACTAAGATGGCAATATCATCTACACCAACTGTGATCCTGATAATGGTGTAGCTGTAATTCTACCTTCACTCAGTGTTCTACAGTATGCAAGACCTAATCTCCAGTAACTTTAAAGTCGGCACAGGTTCTGGTTTTCCATTTGACATGCAATAATCTTCTAACCTGATTTATTCATCAACTATTGCTCTGTGTCAAATGTTTCGGTCTAATTGGTCTATACTCTATAGGCTAAATTGCAAGTTTGGTCACTTGAATTACTAGTAAATTTTACGTTAGCCATTAGAATTACTTTATTCTATTTGTAGTCACTTAAATTGGGCTAACAGTCCAAGTTTGGTCACTGGCCGTTAGTCTCCGTTAACTTTTGCTGATGTGTCAGTCAACTCTAATAGTTGACTGTTAAATGAATGATGTGGCAATTAAAAAAATAATAAAAATTAAAAATCATATATTTTTAATTTCCAACTCATTTTACACCCATTGAAAAAAAAAATATCCGATCAATTTTTTTTTGCCCTTCCTTTCCCTTTCCTCTGCTCATGCACGAAACGAAATTCACAGATAACTGCTGCAAGCTTCCGCCACCGGAAATCCTCTCCTTCCTCTGACCGATTCCTCGACGCCTTCTTCTCCACCACTCCGCCGCCACTGCCGCAGAGGACAGCGAGCTCAACAAGGACGATATCTTCTCCTCCGGTTCATCGCGGAACCAATATCAACAGAGGAAGGAGAGGAATTCCGGTGAACCGTCGGGCCCATTAGAACCAGGCCGACGAGCACGTCCTTGTTGAACCGGACCAACCCGACGATGGCTCGTGCCACGCGTTCCTTGACTCTGGTCGTCGGCCACCGATCCGATTCGCACAGTTGTGATTCGAGGATCGAGAAGAGTTTCGCTTTCAGAATTGATTCCTATAACTCGCTATCGAATCCCGTACCTAACCACTCCTCAAACTCCTCAAGTAACCTAATTTTCTCCTCCTCTGCCTCTTCACCTTCCTCCTCACCCTCCGTCAATTGGAGCGTCCTCGCAAGCTTCTGAATCTGCTCCCGATCGAAATACACCTGAATCTCCGCCTCGATCTTGGACCCGAGCTGGTATGTTCTATAAGCGGTGATTCGGCGTCGGAGGTGGAGAAACGAGGAAGTGAGTTGTTGGGTGCTTTTGTGCTGTGTTTCATCTTCCATGGATGCTTGATCGCGTCAACCTCGGGAATCATGGGGAATTGTTGGTCAGGGGTGGAAGTTCAGGAAAGGGAAGGAAGAGAGGTAAGCTTTGATGGAGAGGAAGGCATCGAGGAATTGGTCAGAGGAAGGAGAGAATTTTTGGTGGTGGAAGCATGCAACAGTTATCTCTTAATTTCGTTTTGTCCTTGAGGAGAGGAAAGGGAAAGGAAGGGAAGGGGAAAAAAATTGATGAGACTTTTTTTTTAATGGGTGTAAAAATGAGTTGGAAATTAGAAAAAAAAAATATTTTATTTTTTATTAATTTTTTAATTGCCACGTCACTTATTTAACGGTCAACTATTAGACTTGACCTCCACATCAGCAAAAGTTAACGGAGACTAACGGTCAGTGACTAAATTTGGACTGTTAGCCCAATTTAAGTGACTACAAATGGAATAAAGTAATTCTAGTGGCTAACGTGAAATTTACTAGTAATTCAAGTGACCAAACTTGCAATTTAGCCATACTCTATACCATCCAGTGGCGGACCTAGAAATTTTCCATAGGGGTGTCCTCTTTGAAAAATTAAATTAAATAAAACTAAAAATAATTAACAAAAATAAAATCGTAAATATGAAAATACCTTACTCGTTCAGGTTAAAAAAGTCCATGATGTGTTTTCATATTCGAAAATAATTGTAGAATACACTTGGTGTTTATAGTGTTAAAAAAAAATTCCTCCATATACCCTACTAGACAACCATTCAGGAACTTATCGCATATTCGATTTGTAAACTTGTTCTTGATGTAGCCCAAAGCTGAAAGACTCTTCAACGCTTGCCGTACAATCATAAAATCAATACAAATTAAGGGTAGATTGAAATTAGTTTAGATTGAAATAATTAGAGATAGGGAATGACTTTTTACTATTACACATTGTTCAAAATCGAACAACAAATGAGTTATAGCTCAACGGAAATTAAGTTTATTAATAATAATAGTGTTCTAGATTTGAATTACCCAACCTACCATTTATATTTTTATACACAAATGACAGTAGGATAATCAATTTTCCAAATTTCAGGGTGTCCCTCGCTATCAATTATATATTTTTTTTATCTATACATAAATTACTACTGGGGTTGGATAATCATTTTCCCGAAATTTAAAGTGCCCGAGGACACCCCTAAAACCCCCTGGGTCCGCCCTGATACCATCCAATCCAGATATTAGGGTTCTTATTCTGGAGCCAAGTGGCTATATGCAGATGTTAGAGATGTGGGGATTTGTCGTTAAGCTTTCTGAAGGCTTTTATTTTATTTTATTTTTTATCAGCAAATGAAAGATTGGCAAATTGCAGGAATCTCTCTAGCATTCAATAGCATTGTCAACTAGGAACCTTGACAACCTTAATTATTGGCTGGAGTGTCTGCAATTAGTTGCCTTTCTGAAAAATATAGCAAGTTTGTCCTTTCCTCTCAAATGAAGATAGTTTATTCTTGCTATGGGAAACTAAACCACTAAAGTGGTGTAGTGGAAGCTCCTAGAGAAAAGGGGCAAATGCCCCATTAGGCCATTTAAGTCTAAACAAGGAAAGTGGAAAGAGCGCTTTGTTTATAGTCTTTATTTTTCCACTTTCTCTGGTCTTTCATGACCTTGAAAGGTAAGGTCTCTGCCACTGTCAAAGGATGAGGCCTTTCTTGTGTTTATTATTTGCAGTCTTGTTTGTTTGCTCTGTTCAGTATCACGTTTCATTGAAGAGTGCGATTATAAACCAATGTTGTTTTCGAAAGATTCATATGTTCAATGTGATATCTCCAATTCTAATTGTGACTAAATTCGAAAAATCTCTCTATTCCGCCATTTTTACAAATCATCCTAACGATTCAATTCATGATGAACTTCTGAGGGCAATCCAGTAAACCTATCCATTACCAAGCAAGCACTTAATTTCATCTCATAATTCATGGGTTTGTTGGCTTGTTGAACTGGCTAATTAGCTTCCAAGTTCGTGGAAAGTTTTTTTTTTTTAACTGCAAGAAAGTATTTTAAGATTAGTAGTATATCACTTTTGAATTTCCTTGGCATCTTCTATATGACAAATGTCCACCCACGGGTTGGCTGCTAATGCACTGATACAGGCCTCACTTTTCCTTTTCTTGTTTTTTCTCATTCTTTAGGAATTTTTCATTTTCTATAATCATGAAGTGCCTGTTTCATTGTTATCCCATAACACTTAGCTAACCTTACTCAATTTGTATAAATAGTGTTGTGTTCTTGGCTCCAGTACTTCACATCCCCTTTCCCCTTTCCATATCACAAATATGTTTAGGATCCTTTTAGCTGTCTTTCTTCTCACTTCAATAACTTACATGTCATATGTCGAGGCATGTCCGCGATGTGGCAATGTGGAAATCCCTTACCCTCTTAGCACTAGAGATGGTTGTGGAGACTCTAGGTACAAAATCTATTGCAACAATGATGTCCTAGAGTTCATGTCAGCCGAAGGGTTTTACTATAGGATCTTAAGCATCAACCCGTTTGCTTCCAGGCTCGTCTTAAGCCCACCTTTGATACAGAGCCATTCATGTTCATCTTCCGACCTTGGGATAGGAGGCATTAGACTTGACGATGGTTCTCCCTTCAACATTTCAACCCGTAACACTGTCATGTTGTTCAACTGCTCCGCCAACATCCTTTTGTCGCCCCTGAACTGTTCCTCCAATAGCTTTTGTCGCAAGTTTGAAGCTCTAGATGTGGGGAGTGGATGCAAGGACACCCTTTGTTGTCATTACTTGAAAGATTCATCTATGAATTCTCACAAGATTAGGGTTCGGTTTGGAGGGTGCACTGCTTACACATCGGTGATCGATGTGAGGCCCAACGATCCTGCCGAGGCCTGGAATTATGGCATTGAGCTGCAATGGGAGGCTCCTCACCTATGACCTTTATCGTCTCTCAGCTCCAACCAACTTCATGTCTATTATTAATCTTGTTCTCTCCTTCCAGTGTTAGTGTTGGTGATAGTGTAATCTTCCATGTTCATGTTTCACCTTACTAGTGCGTTCATCTTGTTTCTGGCTTCCCAATTTCATAGTTATGCATCGATTTCAATGTTGGAATCTACAATGACCCGTTATAATGTGGTATCGAAGGATGTGCTAGTTTGAAATAAGAATTATGTTTAAGGATAGACTATTTCTTCACAACTTGAATTTCCTATTGCCAAGAAAGATTTTGTGGATGAATTAGGAAACAGAAAGTTTGCTTGTATTATTTGTTTACAGCAAAGTTGTCAACTCGATTTAGCCTGTTCGGTCGGCTGAGCAAGTGTGTTAAGAGTTTATGGTCCAATCGTTTTAACCCGTTTTAGTCTAAATACAAAATAAACTCTTTAAATTAATATATTCACCACTGTAAAAACTATTAATTTATAGTAGTTATTAATTAGTCGATAAATTAATAATTATTAATTTAAAGAGGTTTTTCTTATGATGTTCGTTCACCGTATCTTCCAAACATTTCAAGTTAATACGATAACTTATCGCATTCTATGTATTCATTGTACTAAAATTTAATAGAAGAAAATTATGTATTCTTCCAAGATAAATGTTTTCGATGTATTCTTGTAGATGGTCTAGATTCATGTTTTAAATTACTTGCACCCTATATTCATTGATCCTACATTCAATATAATTCATCGAATATATGGTGACCCGACCACTATAAATAATAATACGATATCATTGTGAAAATCATATTCAACAATGGCTTCTCATTTGAAAGCTGTCCAAAAGTCCACCATGACAGATCAAATGGCTTGACCAAACTTTCCATTTGAAAGTTAGTCAAGGAACGATATCAAATACTCTTAAGCTATCATCGGTGTACCTTGAATTAGATCAATGAGGAGAAGGCAACACAGGAGACTTTGAGTGCAATGGGAAAAGTTCAAGATGAACTTCTATTAGATTTGAACTTCAAGAACAAACAAACAACTGTACATTCGTATTTTTCTAGATTATCTTAGTTATATCATAAATTTCTAGATGAATTGTAGTTTGACAATTAATAATTTATAGAGTTAAAAATACATGTATTTATGTAAGTTTGTTATTAAAAATTATTATCTTATTATTTTATTAAGTTTGCTCATTTTTTACACTGACCCAAGTCGGGATAAGAGAAATTATTAATTTATACTAGGTTACTAATTTATTGATTATTAATTTAAAGAGGTTATACTATATATGAAAAAGTTATGATATTGTTCATACCTATAGAAATTACATCAAATCTCATCTAATATATGAGTAATAACATATAACATTACACTAAATAAGAATTTGTATTTAGATCAAACATATAATGAAAATTCAAAGATACTCATATTACATCAATACTCAAATATTCAACTTAGAATTCCAAAAATAGGGTTAGGTGAAGAGAAAGTCCGAACAAGATACGCATATGACCTCAAGCATAGAAACTTTGTTGCGGGTTGATCCGCGAATGTGTGGCGCCCGTTTTCGTCACTGGATCAGATTGGCCAATTTTATAAGGGAATTGATAAAGGTCGTCCTTAAAATTACTATTGATCGTCCTAAGAAATAACAAAGTTACACTTTTAACCCTTTGGCATCTTTAGCAAACAAACATCACTTTGACTAAAAAAATATATGAAAAACACTCAATTTCCCACACTCTCGAATTCATCGTTGACATTCTCGAGTCGTAATCGTTGGGAATATGCCCGAATCAAGAGTAGCAACTCCGACGAGGTAAAAATCCGAATTTTTTTTTGAAAAAAACCCAAAACCCTTCAACCGAAGCCAATTTTCGGTTGTACCATGGCTCAACCTAAGGCAATTTTCGGTTGTACCATGGACCAACCGAAAATCACCTTCGGTTGCACCATGGCTCAACCGAAGAGAGTTTTCGGTTGAGCCATGGTGCAACCGAAGGTGATTTTCGGTTGAGCCATGGTACAACCGAAAATTGGCTTCGGCTGAGGGGTTTTGGAATTTTTTTTGATTTGTTTGGTTTATATTAGTAATTTTCTATTCTTTTACTATGATTTATGGTTCGCTCCATAAGATATTTTGTTGGATTTTGGTTTATCTTTTTTTTTATAGATTTATGGAAGGGGAGGGGTTGTTTGATTTTGAAATTCAAAATGGGCAATTCGGTAAATTACATATTAAGTTAGGACGATGGTTAGTAATTTTTAGAACGACCTTTAACTATTCAGTTTTATAATTTATGAACTCATCATAAACAAAATCAAAGCCAATGGTTGATTGCTTCCACTCCTCATTGTTATGAGTTGAACCGTGGGTTGAGAACCTTGTTTACAAATTGGCCAATTATATCATTTATGAAATGATCATAAACAAAAAAGAAAAAGGCAATGGTTGACTACTTCCACTCATTGCTCAACAATATGATAATACGGCCTCACTGTACATGCATTTGATTGGGAATGAATGATTGATGGAGGCACCATCAATTCATTGCGTAAGAATTCATTTTAGAGATGACAACAAAACCCGAACCCACGGGTACCCATTCGACCCAACCCGGTCAACGCGGGTAAAACTTGTGTTGACGGGTTTTGGGCCGGGTTTGGGTTTAAACCCGCTACACAATTCATCGGATCGGGTTGGGTTTGGGTTTAGGTAAACCCGCCCTATGGGTACCCGCCCATACACGTATAATTACCTTCCCGGTATATTTATTATTCTAAATAATATATCTTCCTTAAACAACTAATATTCTTTATGTTTGTGGAGACATGTATAATTTGTTCTTTCTAAGTTTAGAATGAAGTTGATATTATGAAGTGGAGAGTGAAGAAACTTAGTTGACGAGGAAGAAGCTTTTAATTAATCTTATTGTTTATAGATGTTTATCTTTAATTTTGAACAATTTGTATTGATCATTTGCGGTTTGCTTGTAATTTTTATGAATAATTTGTATGAGAAAATTGATGATAAACTTTTATTTTGAAAGAGACCTGTTATTGTAAATTTTTTACCACAAAAACCCATGTGTACCCATGAACCCGCGGATACCCAGCAGGTTGGGTTGGGTTTGAGTTTTTCAAACCCAGCGGGTTTTACCCAGGTTTTTTTGGCGGATAAACCCATGAGTTTGGATTTGGGTTTGACAAAACCCGCCCCAACCCGACCCATTGACATCCCTAATTCGTTCTTTTTAAGCAAATACTTACGAGTTGTGCTATATTTATGGGTGGCGTTTCGGTTACCGGTTTTCGGTTAATCAGTCGGTTAAATCGATAACCGGCCAGTTATCCATTAACCGATAACCGATATAACTAAAATTCGGTCGGGTAGCAGAGGCTGCACGAGATGATTTTGGTATTGGAGGGAGCTCGGTTAACTGGTAACCGAGATAAATGAAGCCTATGTCGGGCGGTTGTCGGTAGGGGTGAACTTGTGTCCGGTTAACCAATAACTAACCGGTCAGTTATCGGTTATAACCGAACTAACCAAAACTCCACCCCTAACTATATTAAGCACAAACCGTTAATTGGAGAAGTCTTTCTTAAGCATCTTGAACTCGTTGAACTATAGGTTTTCTAAAGCAACCCACGAACTAGGAAATGTATGATGTTTATTCATTGGACAAGGCTGTCTAAAGCAGAGCTGCAACTCATTGAAGAAGGCTTTCTTGAGCAACCACTAGCATATTGGTGACACTAATAGTTTAAGGTTTATGGGCCGTTTACTTGTCATTCCATTTCTGTTAGCTGCCACAACAGAAAACAAAATTAAAATGAAAATGAAACTGTCATTTCCTGGAAAACAAAACCTGAAAAAATCTTGTTTAGCTGAGAATTTTTGTGAGTTCTGAAACTGAGTTCCGAAATGAAAACCTGTTTAGTTGCTTCATTCTGTTTTCTGATTCTTGATTATCATACAACCCTAGCCATGATTATAATAACAATTACACAACTCTAATAATGACTATAATAACAATTACATTGTTTTTAAACTACTAATAAACATACGGATATTTTATATAAAAAATAATATTACAACATCAAACATTGGAGATTCTGTCTCTTTAAAAACCAATAACACTGTCATGAATATCATTCTAGCATCATAGTTTAGTGCTCTGTGATACTAGACACGTCTAAATTATAGTACCATTTCATCAACCAAACTTCACAAATCCATTAAACCCACACTATAACCATTTTTTTAATAACACTAGAACCATTCTAGATAGAAACCCCACATCAAAAGCTAGAAAGCCAATTGGAAGACACCAACCACGACTACCAGGCCACCCAAATCTGCATCAACTACGACTACCTTGCCAACTTCACCTCCAACTCGTCCGCGACATCCACAATGAATTTGCCGGATTGGTGTACGGCCAGATTACATCCGCGTGGGGTTGGAACGGGAACAGGACGACCTAATCCCGCGAGGCGCAGTGCTACATAACCACCAAAATCTTCTTTTTACGGCAAGGATTACAGGTGAAACTATCCTTTCTTTCCGTGTTTCCTTCCCACCTTTCGCTCTCATCACCGGCGATGGGAAGGAGGGGAATTCAGTAGGAGGAGACCAGAGCGTTGGTTACTGGGTCAACCACGGCGGCGCGTGGTGCCGTGGCGGCGGTTGTTTCTTCCTCCAATTCGCCTCGTGGGGCCCGCCGCCGAGTGAGGAAAAGGAGCAGAACGGGGACAGGGGCAAGGCCGGGGTCCGAAGCAGAGTGGAAGCCGTCTCTGGCGGCAATTTCTGAGGACAAAGCGGCGGCGGCGGCAGAGGAGAAAGCGAGGAGGGAGAAGGAGAGGGCTGTGAAGAGGAAAGGCACCTTGCCCTTCAATCCCGCCTTGTCAGAACCCTGAATTCCAATCTTCCGCCATGCCTCCCGCCATCGCAGCGAAAGCTGTAGCTCCCGCCTCCACCGCCTCAACGAAGAGAAAGAACGATGGGAAGAACGACGGGCTGGGGGAAGCTCATTGCTGGAGAAAGAAATAAAAGGGAAGTTGATATAGAAGGGAAATAACGACGGGCTGGGGAAAAGTCATAGGGAAGTTGAAATTAAAAAAAAGGGGTCGTGGGATTCGAATCCCCGACCTCATTAAACCAAATTATCATTTTTTCCGCTGGAACCGGGGAGAAACCCGTGTGTCAGTTTCCTGGAAAACGACATTTTCTTATTTTCGGCCAGATACTTCATTCGTTGCTCATCGTTTTTTCAATTAAAATAGAAAACAAGTGAACACGTTTTTTCGTCTACGTTTTCAAATTTTTGTTTTGGCAACAATAAACAGAAAACGAAATGGGAAGTGAACAGGGCATTAATGGTAAAATCATTAAAAACCGAACTATGATGTAACGAATCGAGTGAAAGAATTATGATGTTGATATTGGCTTGCGTCTTCCCAATTCAAGCCAAAGGAGTACACTTTCTGCATGCTATGGCCTATGGTGGTAAAATTATGTCAGCGAAAGCAATTTCGTCCTTCAAATTCTTTACTTACAAATTCTTCATCAAGCTGTTAGCAATTCAATCAACCAAACTATGACAAAAGACATCCGCATCTCTATCTGTCCAGACAGAAGGCGAACTCAGTCCTCTGTTACAAAGGGTGAGGGCACAAACCGGGCAACATCAACAGCAGCACAAAAGACGGGGGGAAAACAAAGGAAAATGATCAAAGTACCTATTCCATCTAAAACCCTACTCATTTCTTACACATCGGATTACAAATCAATACGAGAAGCTCGCAACAAAAAGAAATCAAGCATGCTCCCGTCTAGGAAAAAAAGAAATAACATTTGGCGGTTATGTACTCATGTTACCAGACATTGATTGATTTGCTTTGCTTACACAGTCACAGTGTGTCTGCTTGGCCGCTTCCCTTCCATTGCGTCTTTCTTCTTCCGACAATTAGTGCACAGGAAGGGACCTTCCCATGGCTTTGATCCAGGTGTAAAAAAAGGACCCGAGTTCACTGAGAAACCATCTCCTGGCGTTTGGTCCACCTGGCAGACAGCACATCTATAGAGGCCAGCGTTTCTGTCTGAAGGCAAATCTTTCCCCAGTCTGCAATTCACACCATTCAAAACGACAGAAGCATGAGTGACGAAAAACTGAACATAGAATTAGGGGAGTAGGGGTAGCATTGGTTTCGGAACACAACTATTCCTTGTTCGGTTAACCAAAATTTCAACCACATTGGACAATATCCGTCGAAGTAAAATAACCAAGATGATATACAGAACATTCGCTAAAAGTAAAATGCATTGCTCGACTTCTAAACTCTAATAGAGAAAATCCAACAATTATTAACGAAACAATAAGTAAAGTTCTGGGTATAAAGTTCAACGTCCAGCATGATCCAAGTAAATTATAGTAAGTTTTAACAACTTGTGGTAGATTTCATCAATTGGTGAAGGGCCCTTTAGGGATCAGCCAATATTGGTTACTTTGGCATTGGTTATTCAAAACCAAAAATCCTAAAATGAACAGCCCAAACAAAATAATCTGGTTTAGGTTAACCAAAAATTGAGGAATTTATTTAGTTTTGGTTTTACCAGAAAAGATTTTCCCACAACGATATTGAACCAAGTTGTGCAGGAAATTCTTAACCAAACTAGAGAACTTGTGATTGTACCTCTCTGCAAGCATGGCGGAACCCTCTTCAAACAACTCTTCGACAACACCAACAGCTGAAAGCTTATTCGCTGCCTTGTTAGTAGAACTCGGAGATTTCTTTCCAATGAAGAGTGAAGTGAGTATATTGTTCTTTTTCCGGGGTGTTGTGGGTAAGATAGGACGGTCTGATGGAATGATGTCAACAACAAGACATGTTGTATCATCCTTCAAGCCCCTTGACCTTAAAGCCTCCTGAAGATCCAACCAAAACTAATTCTTGTAGGAATCCAAAAGAATTTTATATGGGAATCCACCTAAGATATAGTCTCACCTTAACAACTAACTTAACAGCAAGCTCTGCAGGTAAACCTCGACAAGACTTGGCAGCCATATCGGAAGATAAGGCATCCCAGATACCATCTGAAGCAATGATCAGTCTTCCACCAGCATTCGAGAGCTAATAATCCGAACATGTGCTCATAATAAGGTACTGGTTACAGAAAGGTTTTCCTCCTACAATTAAGGCCAAAAGATAAGGTCAGAACTTACTTTCACTTGTTTAACATGTGGTATTGGAACGATGTACTCCCCGACGTCAGTGTCACCAATTGATCTCGATAGGCATAACCCACCAGGCCAGCACCGTAACGGACCAACCTGCAAATAAAGATAACGTAAGGCAGACTGAAGCAACAAGTAAAAAAGGAGCAAGATGATTTCTCTTTGGTTATTAAATATCTCAAACATAAGTTTCGGAAGATGGATCAGACTGCATTCATCTATACCTCATTACCCCCAAAAATATTGAGTCTTCCAACTTCTCCACCACTTGCAGTCACACGCTCCCTCTCTTCGACATTCTCTTCAAGCCTATGATCAACCGTTAAGAGGGATACTATGCCTCCTTGAGTATCCAATATGCATCGAGAATCCCCGACAGAGGCAACAGTAATCGTCCACCCATCAATGATAACAAATGTCACGGTCGTTCCAGAGGTTTCACCTATCAGTTTGCAAAAACAAATATTAGAGCCATTTTTATAAAATGTAACTGGCAGTGACAAGTGGAAAGGATAAAAGGTGCAGACCTCTCTGTTGAAATTCTATATCAGTCTTCACAAAACCAGCAACTAGTGCTCGAGGAAGGGATTGAAGCCATTCTTCTCTGCTAGCTCCTAGAGGAATTGCATTTAAGACATTGTCCAATAAGTGCTCCTTTGCAAAAATGGCCGCCGAGATGCCATTGTGTCCATCGAAAATCTGCAAACCGAAACAAGGTCGAGGGTTTTAGATACTTACAGTATCATGACCACAACCATCCTATTTCATATGAAAGGGAACAGATTGGTACCGCGAAGACAGAAAACGAAGAAGACGGGTTTCCAGGAATCCTTTGGCAATCGGTTTTTACTAAGAAGTAATCCTCCCCTTTCTTTGCAAGAGCAGCTTGTCCATACTTCACGAAAGGTTTCTCAAGCTTCTCGTTCCTTAGCTCACGACCAATTAAGGTTGCGAGTGGAACAAGAGGCGGCTTCGCCCTTGGTACTTCGGCCTGGCTCATGGTAGTAGTTCAGGTGTCAACATTTCCACAACCCCATAGGCATAACACTATCCATGCTGTGAACCAAATTCCTTTAAAATTTTAATCACCTTCATATTATAACAACAAACAGATAAATGGAGACGGATTCAGAACTAGTAAGCTTGGGCAGAATCTAGAAAAAGAACCTTAATTCCTTTTCTATCATTAGATAATCTCAATCACAAGTCTTTCATGACATGCAATTCCTGGCACTTCCTTTAACTCAGTGAAGAGCAAGTAATTGACCAGAATTAGCAAGACCGCACGCAGAAGTTCATCTCAATTTTCACCAGCTAATCTGAAATTTAGTTGATCTGACATTGGAACTCAACATCATCGCAATGCATTCAGATAATCTATAACAGCAAACTAAAACCACTCAAAACCAAGAAAAGAATTAACACATGGAAAAGAAAGAAATCCCTTATTCAACAGAATTCACAGAACTACTCTCCGCAACCATAGAAATTCAACTTTTTCACGTTTAACCTTTCTGCCCCAATCTACCTTCCACGAAAGGCATAAAATTCACACCGAACTTTTCAGCTGAAGAGAAGAAAACCCCAGAAAGGGCAACTCACAATGGGAACATGGGTAGGCATTAATAGATCCAACTTTGGCGTTAAAGGATCTACAAGCTCTCCATTCCCCAGAGGCAAAAAACGCCAATTTCAGTGAAATGAGCTGCCCAGAGAAGGAAAAATTGCAGCCGGAGAGATTAAAGAGAGAGAAAGAGGAAAGGCGGAAGTGTTACACAGAGAAAGTGAGCGAATTTACAGGTGGGTTTTGGTGATTTGATGGGAGGAGAAATCTAGAGCGAGAGAGGACAAAGAAGAGGACGACGCGGGTGAAATTTTTTTCTTCTCTTCTTGCTTTTTTCTTTCTCTTTCGGTGGGAGGAGTCGATTTTTTTTAGGTTAATACCCAATTAGTATGCAGTTTGGCTAGAATTTTTCTATAATACATTTACTGTTAACTTTTCATAATTAATAAACAGATTTGATCCGAAATTTATGTTATCCGTTAAATCTAATGATAAATAATTTTTCCAGTTAATGACTCAGCAAGTATCCTATGCTTATTAGGATTGTACACGTAATTATTATTTAAAAATAAAAAAAAATAAAATTAGAAAAACCCTTGTCTTTCAAACGAGAACACAGATGAGGAGAAGGGAAGACAACGCCTTCGATGGGAAACATAGTAGGGGTGGGCATTTGGTCGGTTCAGTTTCGACCGAACCAAAATTATGTATATCAGGTCATTGAATTCCAACAAAACTCAAACCGAATTCCGAACCAAATTATAATTCGGTTCGAAATTTCACACAAAACCGAATTTGTGAGGCTACTTGTATCTTCACCTTTTTAAATTAATTTTCACCCCTAATGTAAACAATAAATATGCAATTATATGCATCATCAATGATAAAATCAAACATTTCAACACATAAAGTCATAAAACACTAACATGATTCAAATATTTAAATCTCAAAACAAGTACAAACATAAAAATCCACCATTTAGAGCTTGCAATTATAGTAATTCAGTTTTTCGGTCGGAAATTCGGAAGTTTGGTTTGGTTGAAAGAACCCTTATTCCCAAAATATCCATATTTCCCTTCCGAATTTCTAACCAAATAGCATTATTTCGTTTTCGGTTCAGTTTAATTCAGTTTCGGGTTGGTTCGTGCCTAAAATAGAGTTGGCATCTGGTGGGTTCAGGCATGTTTTCGGGGCCCAAGTTCTGCCCCCAATCTGTAACCGAGTACGCTTCTCTGGCCACCAAACGACCGTCAGAGTCTCTTGTGATCGGAATCATGAAGCATATGTTGACATTGGAATGGAAGATTGAGTACAAGAGGAACAAGAATAGTTTCAGATTCCCGCGAGGATCTGGAATGACTAGGAGAATTCGAGAAAGAGGGAGGAGTCGCGAGAAGGAACGACTGGTTGAGGACGGTGAAAACGGAGAGCTCTAGGCGGCGGAGAACGACGAGGAAAGTGTCAATGAGGAAGCAGAGGAGCCACTGGAGGGTGTTGTAATTGTTGGTGCAGCGACGCCACAACCAACACGTCTAGCGAATCTCAGTGGCCGCGGAGAGGAGGGTGCTGGCGAAGATCAAGAACGTGGCGAGGTTGTGCGCGGCGGGTATGGGGCCAAGGGGTACTTGGCGACCGAGGGGGGGGGGGATGCGGTTGAGAATTTTTGGGGTTTAACGGCGGAGGAATTAGGTTGAGAGGGCGGCTAGAAGAGGGGGAGGGGGACGTAAGTCATTTTCCTATTAGTTGTCATACCAGAAATTAGGTTTCGGAATTGTCCACCTAATCACCCTGAAGATCAGTGACTCAGCGACAGATTTGGGGCAGGGAAAGTGAGGGATTTGGAAAGCAATTTTTTTTATTTGTGAGAGAGATAATTGTCTGTGTATTGAATTTTTTTCATAACCCGTGCGTTGAAATTTTTGAAGCCAGCATCCTTTCCATTTTTCTTAATTAATTTAATTCAATTTCATATTTTTTTATAATCAGGTTTTTTTAATAATTTTTTATGTGAAAGTCAGATCACTGCCACCTCAACACATAATGATGAGTCACTAACGGAAAAAAGTATTGACCATCAGTTTTTACAGTTAACATAAATTTTGGGCCAAATTTGTCCATTAATTTGTAAAGTTGGCCATAAATGTCTTATTGAAAAATTCGGGGCTAAACTGACACTTATGCCAAACTTAACGCCAAACTAGGGTATTTACCCATTTTTTATTATCAAAAGTGGGAGTCTGATCATGACGATTAGCGTCTTTACTAATCTCCTCATCTTCTAGGAGACTAGTTTTTACCTGACCCGTTGGTTGGATAAATTTTGTTTTATTACTTTCTTATTGTTTCATGCTAATTAATTCATTTATATTGTCAAATGATTTGGAATTTTTTAAATATTTTTTTGGTAATGTAGTCATTGGAGCATTCGACTTTCACGCATCCAGATTTTTTTTATGGAAATCTGTCATCATTTTATTTATGAGAATTTGCGGCTACATCATCTAGTTTAATCTGATCACTCATGAAAACAGGGGGTCTATCTAGCCAAACTTGTCTCTCGTTCCACCTTGTATCCGAATGGGCCATTATATGTGTTGTTGTGTTGCCCTCTCTCTACAGTCTATGCCGATTCTGTGTGAATCCTCTCAGCGTTCTCCAACTCATTGGTCAATGTAAGGCAGTCCGTCTCCAGAATCGGGTTGGGGAGCGAGAACTGTCGGGCTAATTGCACCCCTATCTCTGTAGTTAAGACTTCCGCCATTTCAGGTTCCCATTGTACAGGGATTTTCTTTGCCGCAACAAGGATGAACTGCCCTCCATAATCTCTAATCACCACTCCAAAACCAATCCCTCCTGTAGCCAAAACTGCCGCATCGGAATTGATTTTTGTCCGCCCTTGCGCTAGTTTGCGCTCCTCCTCCCTTGTCCCTCTATGTTCGCTTTCCTGTCTTGCTCGATAATCATCAAGGAAATATTTAGCTCGAGTGACAATCTTTGATTCATCCAAGTTGATGCCATTAAATTGTTGGGCATTCCTCTCCTTCCAGAAGAACCAGAGAAGGACACTCCAAGCTTTCAGGGTGGCCTCATCTTGGGACTCCATTAGCGTCTGCAACCAAGTGTAACAGCAAGGGCTCTTTCAGTAGATGACGCAGTCTGCCAGCTAGGACTGATGCAATAGTCGCGTTGTCCTCTCACATTCTCCAAAACGATGCACTTGAGTCTCACAAAAGGGGCACTTGTCGCTACATTTTTTGCTCTTCGTACTAATATAGTCCCCTGTCGGCAACACATTCCTAGCAAAATGACACATGAAGTGTTTGACTGATCGATTCATTCCGTGCAGGTCATTGTCAGTAGTTTGCATGTATCAATAATTACCACATCCTAGGCCAAGTTTAACCTAAAATGGTGTTGTCATATTGACACGCCCCGTCTCATTTCAAAACCCAACCACAACTCAAACCACAAACCGATTACTCCGGTGCAACCAAACCATTTTTTTTAAACAAACAAACCGACATCATTTAAGAATTTTTAACAAAAAGCCCCAACACTTGGGCAAAATTCTCAATCTAAAACGCTTAAAATGACTTAACATAGAATCTCCAGTTTATACTAATAACCATGAAACAAAATAATTAACTAATCTAACTTGACACCGCACGAGCTTTCCGATACCCCGTCGACGTTGGGACTGCTGCTCGCCTCGCCCCGCTTCTTCTCGTGATCCACTTCTGCTAGACTATCATCAACCTGGTGAGTGAGAAGGGGTCAGTATCGTCGTTACTTCCTAAGGTCTTTGCCCTAGCCAAACTCTTTACTAAACACATTATTAGGGGAATGCCTTCCTTAGACGAAAGTCATTCTCACTTTCATCCCTTAAACTTTACTAACAAACAGTCTATAAGAGATCTCTACTCCTATCTTATCTTTAGAATTCCCTTACTTAGGTTCTTAATAACTCCTTTCAACTTTAACTCATAGAGGTTCTCAACTTTTACCCTTAACTCAAACACAAAACACTAGGACCACCGCGTTATGTCTCGCCGTCCGGTTGCATACCCAAACTCGCCAATGGCACTGCGTTACGTCTTGCCGTCCAGTCCATGCCCGTCAACTACTACGTTACATTTCGCCGTCCAGTAGTGACCCCAACATACATAGCACAACGTGTGCCTCCACCCTTACAGGCGGTGGGATGCCTCACACACATATCGCGCATTACTAAAAAATTAACGAATTAATAACTTGAACGAAAAACAGAAACTAAAAGACCTACGACAGAGATTTTACCCCCTTTACAATCACCTCGAAAAGATGACTCCTCAACTCCTTCCTCGAAGAAACCCCTCCTTAGCCGAATTATCTTGGGGAAACCTATTAATAAGAATCCATTTTCTTAGACGACCTTTCTTGATTTAAAACCCCTTTTGAATCACTAGAACATTCTCTCCTCAAACTCCAGTCCTTGAACTTCATTTCAAGGGTCTTTTAACCCCATTAAAATTTTCTAGAATTAATCCCTTCAAAAACGACTATTTTTCTTAATTATTTTTATCTTAGACTAATTTTTCACCTAACTTGAACCTTCTTATAATTTTGTAAAATAATTTTACCATGTCAATCATGAGCACCTTTACCCTGGAAAATTATCAAACCCTTAAAATTTCCTCGGAAAGATTTTTATTTAATTAAAACGAATACTAGAAAAATTTCTAAAAATAGAAATACATCTTCAAAAATCATCAAATTAAATTAAAATCATCTCCTAGACGTCGCTCAATTTATAAAATTATTAAATTCAGAAAACAACCTGCAGAGAGGCTCGAAACAATTTAAAACATCTAAAAATACGTTTCTGGAAATTCCCATCAGTTTTAGTGACCACCCAAAATTTGTAACTAAAAGCCTGTAACGCCTGTTGTTAAAAACCCAGAATTGCATCCTCATGAAAAATCCCAAAATCAATCGACCTAACTCAAAGGGATCGAGTTCTCTTACCTCTAGAACGCGCCTAGGCCTAGGTTGGATGACCCGGGACGTTGATCTCCTCGTTGATCGAACCCTCAAACGTCACCGTTAATAAAATACGAGCTTCGGATTAGGCTATCGATAAATCGAGTTTAGAAATCGCAAAGGGGCTCGTGATCCTTACCTAGAACAAGAAAGGGATGAGATGGGAAATCGGGACCGCGATCGGGATCCGGCTGCTAGCGGCGCTGGGGAAAGCGGCGGGGTTTCTCGCGCTTGCTGGGACGAACAAAGTGGGACGGGGGGTTTAATTACTTGGGGAATTAGAAAGGGTTGGGGGGGGGGGAGGGTGTTTATTTGCTGGGGCTTTGGGGATTAAAAGGACACTGGGGGCCGCTCGGGCCCAGGTCCGAATTATATGTATTTTTTATATAATAATAATAATATAATAATAATAACAATAATATAATAATAATAATAATATTATTATTATTCTTAATCCGCGATTGTAACTCTTAGTACATAACCGTCAATCCAACCGATCACGTATTAAGGTCGAATCTAAATCTAAATTATCAGGGTGTTACACATATAGTGGCACTTATGGTCATATTCACTAGCGTCCCGGTACCTAGCATACTTCCCACGTCGTTGATATCTAGCCATTCGATTTAAAGGATTTGGTAGGAGGATTGAAGTAAAATAACTACTAGATAGAATATACAAGGATAAAAGCAGGTACGTCGGGGAACTAACCTTCGCCCTAACTTAGATCTATCATGCAAATGCCTAAACATGTTAGGTTAAGTGAATGTGGTGAGTGAGCTCTTTTCAGTGGGCCTTCGTGATTATCCACACGCCTCCGAGTACGCCCTACCTACCCCATTGTCACCTCGATATAGGCTCACGTATCTATGGCTTTAAGTACTTAGCTCGTTTTAATGGGTACTACTCACCGTCCACACCGAGGTTTCATCCCGGGTTCCATCTAGGAAGGTGTTTTTATTGCAGGGGTTCGGTCGCCTCCTCCACCATAAGACCCTATTCATTCATCTAACCCTAATTTGCCAGATGGTGCATACATGTCTAACCCTAAAACTCCAAACCCAGCGTAGAAGCTAAAGTAGGCTAGTAGAGAAGATTAGGGCGACTTAACCAAGCACAATTAAAAATAGACGAAGCATCAAGATTAACTAGACAAACACATTCATTCAAAACCCTACCATATTCATTCATTACAGAATAGCCCTAAAACTAGGTTTTGGGGATTAGAACCCCTAGTACCTTAAGAGACTACTCCATAAAGGAAGGAAGAAGATACATAGAAGAATTTGCGGGCCGACTTCACGGTCACAATTCGTGTGTCACGACCGCGAAATTCCTCGCGGCCAGGGAAGAAAATGACTGTGATCCGACCGTCAAAACTTTTTGTCTTCTCTCGGGTGGCTTCCCCACCAAGTTCACACAAAAGGGCTCCATCTTCGCGGCCGCAATCTTCTCTCCTACTTCATGGTCTGCTGTCTTGGCCGAGATCTTTTCCCTTTCAGGCTTTGACGATCAGCTTCCTGCCCATTTCCCTACACTTGTGCCCTTTTTTCATAACTAATTCACATGTATCGTATAAAGCACCCTAAAATAGCGACGTAATCAAATATGATTAAAATAGAGATGCAATCGACGATATTCTTTTGATTATGCACACGAATTAGCACGAAACAAACCTAAATATGAAGGGTAAATAGCACCTATTTAGGTGTTATCAAAATCCCACCACACTTAGGTATTTGCTTGTCCTCAAGCAAACCTACTCCAACCAATGCAACTTGATAGACAAATTGACGGAGGATGCACTCTAGTTCTTCATTGCATAAATAAGAGTAGACGGAGACGAGTAAACATTACTATCCTCTTAGTGTGCAAACACGAACTCCCTAGTGAGGACTTAGGTCATTCAATTCGTCTCCCCTGGCCCGGCGATCCCGCACTCAAACGCCAAAACGCGCTTTTAGTGAAATTCACGAGAAATTCGCGAATTACTTTCAAGCAAAGCGCAATTTATTATTTGGGGAGCGCGAACTATATCTTGGAGAAGGGAAATGTTGCAGAAGAGAGGGAGAGAAAGAAAGCAGAGCACAACCATGGTGTCGCTGAAGCTCCAGAAGAGGATCGCCTCCAAAGTCTTCGATTGCGGCAGAGGAAAGTCTGGCTCGATCCAAATGAAGGCAACTAAATCTCCATGGCTAGCGCCTAACTCCTGTCAGAACATAAGTAAAGTTATCAATAAATGGCGACGGAGGGAGAACAGAGGAACGGAAAGGAACAGCGAAAGGGAAAAGAATAAGAGTGTTAGGGGTAGTTTAGTTAGGCTTTTGTTTGTGTGTGTGTGTTGTCACCACTATTTTATTTATTATTCAATTATTATAATGATAAATGTGAAAATGGAAGGCAATTAAATAGGAGGAATCTTTCCTTCCACTGAAGAAAATGTTCCTTTTTCTACTCATAAAAATGTATTCATAATATTAGGTCATAAAAATTGATAAGGAAAGGGGAGATGACATTCATCTCTGCATAAAACATTTTGAATTGGGTAAAGTGAGTGAATAATTTAATTAGTTGATCTATCTTATATAATTTTGTTGTTGTACTTTGTAATATTGAAAGTATATTTATCATTCAAAATTAATTATATTAATATAATAATGGAGCTCTCATCACGCTCTTGATATCAAGTCTTTCATAATTAGACGCTCTCGCGCTCGCGCTCCCGCTCCACGAACTGGTTACCTAAGTGAGGACCATACCTACTACTTCGTGATGAACATACAAGGTGCGCACCGAGGGATTTCTCAACAGCAATTAAGAACAAGAACTCTTGAGGGTGCTCTTTATTCTTTCTTTCAATATAGGAGTTGTCATGTTTTTTGTCTCCTTTTTCAACGTTGATGCGCATTGCACCAAACTTTTGCAAACTCTTTTTAAGTAAGCAACTCTCCCTCATGACCAAGAGCGGATGTATCATTGCCTTCCCAATCAAGGTCACATGTGCAGAAGTTGATGGACAGATTCGTCTTAGCCATAGCACCACTTCCCAACATGCACTCCACATTGGGTTGCCACACATGTTGGGTACAAATGAGAGCCGACGTATTGTTTTCCGTGAGGAGGAGAGGTGTTAGGGGGATGGTAAATAGTGAAGGATGATCGGGACGCAATAAAGCTATCCGTTCCCCAAACACATCCTCGAGTGGCAATCCGACAAAGAGAAAAACCCTTGACGGCTTAACTCAAACACTATGCTCGGTGCTTCTAACATGAAAGACTCAATTACAAAAGATATTTATTCATTTTTTTTAAGTTGAGCACAGATTTGCAAAAGTTTTTAGTTCAAAAGTGGTGGAGAGTCCCGCACACTTGTTCTTCCTAAAACAGTAAACATTATCGACTCACCAAAGAGGAAGAAGAGAGTAAAATATCTCATACACCGGTACTCTAATCATGCAACTACTCCCTATCGAAAAAAACACATCAATTATCTATCAATTCAAAGCATACTGAGTAGGAAGTTGCAAGAAACAAGGTCAACCCTCAAATTTGAAAAAATTTG